GCATTTTTTTAAAAATTCATTTGTACTGTAATTAAGAAACATGCTTATTTTTATTTAATGAACCTGGGCTATAATGCAAAAAAGAGCCAAAAGCACAAACCACCAGTAATTCCACTGCTCTGTTCGTGGAAGTATGAGCACTTTACTGCATCAATTGTCCAAGGGAGAGAGACCACGGTGTTTTTACAACCTTTAACATCAGGCATTAGCTCTGATCTGGCCATTAGACCAATTTTTGGTATGTCAAGTGTGTAACTACAGAAAAGCGGATGAAAGCTCATTTTAGCAGGAGGGACAGTGAGCACACAAATCATTGAGCAGTTAGCAGGAAGTCAGAGGGAATTTTCTGTCTGGGACTGACTCACCATTTCCAGTCCTCACACACAGACCAGAAATTCTGCCCTGTGCACCTGAGCTGATCTGGAGCCTTTTCTGACTTTAACCTCTTTATGCCAAAAATCAAGACTAATTGAACCCTGGAGTGGGCTGCAGAGTCCTGCTTCCAACACTCCCATCGCCGGCTCCGTTGGAGTGAACTGCTAATTACTACACACGAGGTTATTTTCATTTCCTCAAAATGTACCAGGCACCTGTTAATTGCTGGATAATGCTTTAATGGCTTATTCCTCCCAACATCTTCCAACAAACCACAGGCAGATTAGACTGGATGTGCACCTTTGTCTGCCATAATACAATGCATTATTAGTAAATACACAGCTTTTCTTTCCATCATGTACATACACAGCAACTAAAACCTGCCAGGACCCCAAATAAGGGACTAAATAAGTCATTGTGTCTCCATATGCTCATCTCTCTGCAATATGTGCATATCATATACATGCCATATATATATATATATATATAAATATACATCTATACACACACAAAATACCCATATTCACATACAGCTGTATTTTGTTCCACACAGATATGAGTAAAAATTCCTACTGGGGTATACAAGCAGCTGTGCATAATTAGCCTGGCTTCTGCTGGGCAATTTAAATATTGACACTACAGATGTTTCTACCTAGTGCAGATCCGTTACATTTCCAGACCAGATTACAAAAGGCACTGAGTATATTTTTGCTGAAATGGAGATGATTAATCCCAGGAAAAGATTGCTGAAAGTTTGCCATCAGCAAGTTTTGAAGTATGCCCAGAACTGCACACATTTGTAAGCAAAGGCACTTGAAAACTGCTCTGCTGAGTTGTATCCAAACTGAGCATCCCATCTTCAGCAGGGAAGGACCAGGGCAAAGATGTGTTAAACAGGTTTGTTTTTCAAAAATATAAGATTTTTCAGTATTCTCATGTTTTATGATACTGAAGGACACTCTTGGCTATTCTTCTTAATTCCTTCTGCTTCCTCTCTAAATGTCTTCAAGTGTCCTTTTATTTCTAGCAATAATTTACAGACATGTCAGTCCAGGCTCCACGGCTGGAACCCAATGCATCCAGGCTGTTGTGCAGCACAGAAAATGAGTTGTTGTTTTTTTAACTGAGGTTCTCCAGCAATTTTCCTAAGGGCTGCAGTTAAGGTTTTAGCCCACTGGGTTTGCAGCATCTTGTTGTAAGTCACATAATGTCAAATGTGTTTAAAATAATTTCTGCTGAATGCCTGCAGCAAGTGAAATGAGGTGGCTGCCAAGTTCATTTAACCAGCCTTCACTTCCCAACCTTTAAAGAGTGAGACATGCAAGTGTTTCTGCCTGTGGAACCCACAAGATCACAGTCACTCTCATCAACGGGCTGAGGTGACTCTGCAACAGGACACAGGTCCTAAAACCTTGAGCTGGATAGGTCAGAGGTCTGTAGGAATAACACGTCATAACTTACAGGACAAAACCATGAGAGATGAGCAGTGCAGTTAACACAAAACCCATTATAGTCAGTCAAAAAATCGCCACAGGTGTCACTGAGTCAGGCTCAGCTATTATTTTCCTGTATATACAGCTGACTGCAGTCTCATACAGAAATTAGGGATGTAATAAATAAAAAGAAATGCAAACTATTCACATTCACATTTAGTGGACATTTACACTGTGATCCAGTGAACATCCAGACAAATCCAAGATACCTTTTTGAGCATTTTTTTTTGTTTTCAGCAGAACTATTTCAGTGAAAGGGTTTGATTCAGAGCTTGAATGAAGATGAAGGTGGCTGTGATAGGAAATAAGGTTATACATACAATGCAAAGCCTTCTTTTTTTTCCAACTTCAAAAAAGAAATACAACAATACAATTGTAATCCAAAAGGAAGGAGTGTGGATTCTTACACACAAACATAAGCACATTAAGACTTCTATCAAGGTCTGCAATGCAACTATTGACTGGGAGGGGCAAGACAGAAGAACCTGGTGAATAATTTGAGAAATATGCCATAAAATGTGAAGAAATATGGAAAACAGATGTAAACAATGGGAAATCTTGGCTGACTGGGTGCCATCTCCACAGAGAACTGTGACTGATTCCAGTCAGTTCTGATTCTACAGGTTCACTTGAGAATAAAATAATTTTGCAAGCACTGGTGTTCCTGACACCAGGAAAATGAGGTTGTGAAGTCTGATGTGATGAACGCCTGGAGGGAGGGGGGAGAGGATAAGGAAAAGAAAGTTGAGAAAAATTTTTCAAACTTTGACTGAAAGGAAAGACAATCCAGATTCTAAGTGATCCATGGATCAATAGGGAAGGGTGATGAGAGAAAATGGATGGAAGCAATCACAGAAGATTTCACTGGAATCTGCTTTGATGGAGAGACACGAGGCCACTGAGAGACTTGCAGGAGCTCACAGCTCACACCCAGAGCTCAGGCACCACCAGCAGGATTAAAGCTTAACCACTGCAGAGTCTGAGCTGTTTGGCACCACTTTTTTTTTCCTGAGATATGAATATGGGGGCTGTGGATCTCCTAAACCACATCACCCTGCTCAGTGGTCCAGGAATGTGTGTCTAAGTGGGCATGACAAGAGGATATTGCAGTTTAGGTGAAAATGTAATAAAGTTGGTCCCTTGATCTGATTAGTTACTCACACTGTGTTACAACTATTGACTGGCTGTGCAAAGGAATCTGTGACATTTCTGAGCAATGTGTTTGAGCTAATTATGAAACTTGCTACAACCTGGGGGGGAATTGGAAGTGGGACAGTCTCAGGAAGTTTCCTTTGAATTCCAAAGAAGCAATCAATACTTGAAATAAATTACAAATGTACTGGAGGCCTCCAATAGAAAAGTTAGTGTTCCACTTGCAGCTGTACTCTCAAACACATTCCCCGTTTGAATGAAAATATCATCAGTGTACAATTATAGAATCAACCTGGTTGGAAAAGACCTCCGAGATCATCAACTCCAACCTTTGATCAAACACCACTGTGGTTCCCAGCCCATGGCACTGATGCCACATCCACTCTCACCCTAAACACCTCCAGGGATGATGAATCCACCCTGGGCAGCCCATTCCAATGTCCGAGCACTCCCTCTGTAAAAAATTTCTTCCTAAAATCCAACCTAAACCTCTCCTGGCACAGCTTGAGACTGAGCCCTCTTGTCCCACTTCTGGTTCCTGGGAGAAGAGACCAACCCTCACCTGGCTCCAACCTCCTGTCAGGGAGCTGCAGAGAGTGATGAAGTCACCCCTGAGCCTCCTCTTCTCCAGACTCAACACCCCCAGCTCCCTCAGCCTCTCCTAAGCTCATTACGTGCTCGTCACAAGTGAGGTAAATAAACATTCACCTTAAAATTGTAACCTGATGAAGGAGCAGCTCATAATGCATTTAACACCTGCAGCTTTTCAAACAGGCGGAAAGCAAAACTCACCAAGAGGTCACATGATCTCTGGAAACTGCATAAATAATAAAATAAGGACAAATAACTTCTAGTCCTATCAATATGTAATACGTGGAAGTGAAAGGTACTTGTTCAGAGTAACCAAAGCACATGTCACCACATTAAGCTTCAATGAATATTAAATATTCATGAAAATATAATACACTTGTTTCCAGCTTTCATTTCAAAATATTTCAGGAACCTTAGGCCCGTGCTCGTACCTTCAACTGTTTAAGAGGATAAGGCCCTGTGTTCAGTGGGCCTTGTATAACCCACAGCTCTGATCTCAGTGAAATCACTGTCATTCCACTGACATTAACAGGAGCTTCTCCTGGTTTAGATTTCTTTCACCAGGAGCCAGGTTAGCTCCAGAAGGATAATCTGATCACACACTTACTGCTTAAAAATCCACTGGAGATTCTTCTCAAGCGGAAGTGAAAAGCTGGTTAATAACTCAACAAAATTACACAACAGTTGAGAACAACAGAGGAACAAAACGAATTCAGCCTGTGGGAAGAGTTTAAATAGGGCGGTTGGACCCAAATTGAAATTTGGAACAATATCTTATTCTTACGGAACTTCATCATCAGACAAAACCAACAGTAAATTTAATCAGAACAATTCATTGTTAACTTTAATTCTCAAAGTGTGTTTTTTATTTTGTTGCAACTGCTGTATCTGCATTTACAAAATCTGTTTATCAGCATTGTTCAGTATTTCAATCTGCCCTACAATATTAGTTTATTCATAATAAGCTTTCCATTTATTTCTAGTATTTACTATTCTCCTGCTATATAAACAAATAAAAATGACCCTTCCAGCAGCTAAACTTACAGAAAAAAAAGGTGAAATTCCCACTCTGAACAGAAATTGTACATGTTCTTTGGTCTGAATATTAATCATATCCTAGGGGTTTTCCTAGTGGATTCAAAAGATGCATTAAAAAATATGAACCTAAATCAAAGCTTTTTTTTTGTTTTTTTAACTTTTACTGCAGGTTTTTGACTGGTTTTTTTTTTACGTGCTGTTCTAAAGGTTTGCTGGTCTCACCTCTTTGTGCAGGGGAAGGATCCACCGAGCCACGAAATCAGCAAGAAAAGTTGCACAATATGATAATAATACATTTATCAAAAGCCAATTGGTGCACTATTTATAGAGATAGGATGGGCATGGACTCACCTGTAGGAGATCCCTCCATGACGTGCCCCACGTAAGGCCCTTCCTTGAACATCGGCCTGTTGTCGTTCTGATCGATCACAGCAATATCCAGGCGGACGGGACCGTCAATGGTTTTCCCGCTCAGATCTGTGACCTCGACTTCAAGCTGCAGGAACCAAGAGAGAGCAGCAGATTCATTAGTTCACCATCACAGGGAGCAGAGAACAAGAAACCAGCTCAGGTCAGTGCTGCTGCAACCAGATCTTGCCCAGGGCAACACTTCCAGCCCAGTCTTCTGGACCAGGCTCAGAGCAGATTCCTAATTTAACGAACAGAGAAAGATGGATTTGAATTAAGATACCCCTTGGCAGCTTGAAAATGCCATATTACCCAAAGAATGAAAAGACCAGAGGATAAGAAAACAAAGACCCTCTGCAAAGTTGTTACTAATCGTGTGAAAATTTGGTTAGAATTTGTTTCTTTGGTTTTTTTTTCAATCCCATTTCCAGTATAGAACTGTCTGGTATAACTGACATGTCTCCTAATGCTCATTCAAAAGGCTTTTAAACAGCAAACAAACAAGAAACAAAACGAAACCACAAACCAGCAAGAATTCATTAGACATGAAATATATTTTCTCAGTGATGATGGCATGGAGTATTATTTTAGGCAATTTTGACAGTTCTCCAGCATTTCTAGGAAGGTCTGGAAGGACAGAAGAACATATGGAGTCTCCTACAAGCAGAAGACATGCAAACACCCACAGCCCAACCTGTGACAGCACCTGTTGAACAGAAAGCTGACATCTGCAGCTGAGGATTTGTTTGGACTTCCTCTGCTTCCAAAAGCTGGAGAGAAAGCTCCTACTGTTTATCTCCACCCTCCAACCCAGGCACAGTGGAAAACCACCAGGAGTCACCAAAGCTTTGTCTGTTATCAGGGCAAACCGAGCCAAAACTTGTTAAACAGTAGAAAAGATCAATTTTGACTTTTCAGTAGAAAAGATTACAACTGTGTGCTGTACCTGCAGTTCTCTGCCCTCACCAAGAAATCAATGAAATGCAGCAATAAACATGTCAGAGGCACCACTATCATTCTCACCTGCCCTCCCCATCCCCAGACTCAACTCTTTAATGGAGTTAAGCCAGCCAGAAAATGAACCTGAGCTCAAGTGTTGATATCACCCTCTTCCAGTCTTTCCTGAGAAAGTGGTAACAGCAGGGGCTGGAAGTCTCTGAGCATTTTGTTTATACTGTTAATTTATTCTTCATTGCCGTGTCTTATACCTGTAAGTTATTTATAACTTAGTGATAAATCCTACTAGGAAAGAATTAGGTCAGAATTTTAATTCCTTATTAAAATGGATGGCTTATTATCACCTCACTCTGTATTTTGTCATGCTTATAGATACTTTCCACTTCTTTAATTCAATGTGTTGGGTGTGAGTAGGAGTATTTGTTACGGGTAAACTACCTACTCAAAAATACTGCTTGTAAATAGTGTCACAGTCCATTTTAACATCTATTCCCTGTTTATCCTCACTTCTCTGGTAATTGTTCTTGCAAGCCTTTCACAAGCCTTATTTTCCCCTATATATATATATTTATATATTTCCATATGTGTGTGTATGTGTATATATATATATATATATATATATATGGTTTGACAGTTTAAAAGCAAACAAACACTCTGATTTGAAGGTAAATAATTCCCATGGCATTGGTACAGCTGGAGTTTTATGAGGGCACACACCCCTTCCTCTTCCAGGCTTCTTAAACCCTGTACTCCAAAGTGATTAAGGGAATCTTTGATGGCCTATGATGTGACAAGGAAGGACAACAGTCTCGTTCCTGCTCCAGCCCTCTGATCATCTCTGTGGCCTCCTCTGAACCAACAAGTCCGTGTCTTTCCTGTGCTGAAGACTCTGGAGGTGGACACTTTTATCGTGGTAAATGTTGACTCATCAAAACTTCGTTAATTGCTTTGGGAAGTGAAAGAATGGCAATATTTCTCTGTGAAATTCCAGAAAATTACTTTTCAAATTCAAGATAATTTGCTCTTAATCTCTCTCTCAATATCAAGTGACTATTCTGTTCACTGGAAAGAACAAAGGCTTTGCTAAATTTAAAAAAAAACTGTTTCAGCTGCTTTATCAAACTTGTAAGTCCTTTAAAACAAAGGCTGATCTAACAGTAGGTTTTAGACTTTTTTTTCCTAGAGTAGAACAGATTAGGGAAAAGAATAGGAGATTCTGATTAATGACTGAAATGGATTTACTTTATCATTGCCAAGTCCACTGCATCTGAGACCAACTGTCCAAAAAATTCGGCATGACAGGTCCATAGGAACAGTTACATGATCTCTGCTTCATTTTATTAAGATGGCAGAGGACTTTATTTTATTAATCTTTGTGCAATAATTTTCTGGCCTGCCCTAAGCATTATGGGTCAACTCAGCAGCTCATTTTAAACCCATTCTCCTACAACGTTTCCCAAATAAAAGCCTGCAGCACTGAAATTATGACCATTTATCTTTATATGACTAGTTTGTGAAAGAAGCTGTCTTATATCTTATCTTGCTTGCCCACAAAACAAACAAACACGTAAAAAAAAAAAAAATCTGTAAAGTCCCACTGCTCACAAAATAACAACAGAAGTATATTGTTATTTAAAAACACCCAACTTATTCAAGCGAGAAAAGCACTCAAGTAAAAGACAATATTGGCACTTGGAACAGGCAGTGAGTGGAAAATTAGCTGGTGCCTCACAATGAGAAGAGGGAGATTTCAGTCTTTCAATACACAAGGCAGGAAAGCCTTCCTGGTTTTAATGTGAAACTTGACTGATGTAAGGAAGAGACTCAATTAATGCTTTTGATAACAGGAGATTGTGATGGCATGTTCAGAAATGAGTAAGTTCCTACCTGACTGCAACGACATCACTCCAAGGACAAGTGCTAAGTATAAAGACAGATTTGGGCAAATTAATAAGAAACGACCTGCAGAGCTCTGCAGCCTTTTATTTTGTGAAGGCCCTCTATGTTTTTAATGTTCCAACTTAAAAATTATGGAATTATGTTCGTAAGGGGTTGAAGTAAATGATGTTTAAGGTCCCTTCCAACCCAAACCATTCTATGCTAATGATGAAGTTTTGTTCATCAGAACCCACACCAATTTTCAGGATATTTTCAGGAACTCCTGAGTCTAAATCCCAATTTCATTTTTGAGACAAGTGTACCACAAAGGATAATCAAGGCTTTATGAGAAGGGTTACACCTCACACCACAAGGTTCCATGGCAGGAGACAAAGCAGATCTTGTCTATTGGCCCTAATATATCTAAGAAACACTGATAAAATTAAGCACACCAGTGAAACAGGGCAAAGCAGTATAAACCCTAAACCTGCAGGCAGGAACAGAATTTACCCTGCCTGATTAACTCTTACTTAACATTCTCCCTTCTCAAAACGGACTTCTTCACTCCCCATCCAATTTCTCTCACCATATCCAAAGCAGAATCTTCCATCATCCCAAATATAACGACATCACCAGGAGTTTAGAAAGCTTATTCAAAGTTACACAAACCTGCTTCAAACACTCTGCTTTATTTCACGTAGTCTTGAGTCCTTTCCACTCTGCAGTCACCAATAACATTTACAGGAGAAGATAACCAGCCTCATCCTTACCATTGCTTAAGGTAATTTCAAAAGCTTCTCTTCACAGAACAGTTGTTTTCATTCATTTATTGCTTTTGGTGAAATGATTCTGGATAGCCACCGTCCTTCTCTGCATATAAATGTCTATTTTTACTTTGCAGCCAGCCAGCCAATGGCCCACATAAAATTACCTCATAAATTCGAAGTTTTTCACAAGTAAATCTGGAATATCTTTTAATGCTTAATTATCTTCAAAGTCTAAGACAGGCTATTTAGTCATTACCTGCCTTCTTATTTAAATTTCCAATTTGTTGCTGATAAGAATGTTTCTCCCAGAATTCTTCCAGCTGTTTCAACAGATGATTTTTCTCCACAGGAGCACTGGGCCACACAAGAGGCTGCTGCACCACCCCCTGCCCCATCTGGGGGGATTCTGAGATGTCTACAGGTACAGAGCAGTGCTGGCTTTATTTACCCCTGGTTTGATTAGAGTTATGACTGAGGATATTTGTTAGGATCATTTATCACCAGTTTTTAAGTGTGGATTGACAGGAAGGAAAGGTGACAGGCTTAAGATCATTCATGTAGGCAATCTGTGGTAAGAAAAAGAAATGCAGCCACCTGTTCACAAAAAAAATAGTAAAGAAAGTACCTCTATAACAAAAGGTTGTAAAAATTTTATGCAATTACCTAACAAAGCTCAGAGAAGACAGTGATTCAGACAAACAGAAACTAATTACAATGAAATTTCCTTGCTTTATGAATATGAGTAAAACATTAGCTCATTTTTATACGGCTCAGGAATAGACAGAGGGAGAGGATACAAACCAAAAATCTGCTGTCTCTCGTAGGTAAGCATAATTCCATCTCAAACTACTTGATGGCAGGGTACTGATTACCACAGCGTGATGTAGAGATGATGGCAAAAATGGCACTACTACTTGTGATGGGAGAATTTACCCTCACCTTCAGAGTCTGGGCTGAGGTGGGAAGGGATTAATTAGCCCCTCTGAATACTCCTATGAGTATCTTCCAGAGGCTTTACCTTGCTAATGCATCCATCTCAAAAATTAGATTCTGTTTCCTTTGAAAATACACAACTTATTACTCTAATTTTATTGTTTTCTTATCCAGCAACTGAGTTTAACTGGTAAGTTATGGAAAAAAAAAAGGAACAAAGGAATTTGGAGCAGAGAAAGGGAGGCACTGGTGTTATAAAACTGTGCAGGAAACCCAACCCTGCTGGGGCAGCAGGACAGGGCAGGGGGGTGGGCAGTGGCTGCCCCAAGGTCCTGCCATCCTGCCAGAGCTTCCCCTCGGGCTCTGGGTGTGCAGAAAAACCTGCTGCACCTCCCAAAACACACAAATTCCCATTTCGGAGGTAGCATAAAGAGGGTGTGAGGTGCTCAAACTGCTCAGAACCCTCCTGGTTGATTGTGACAGAACTGGTGGAACCATCACAGCAGAGTGTTCCAAAAGAGAAGCAATCACATAAATAACAGAGGCAAAGGAT